ATTTATCGATTTTTTGAACTAGAACCAAAGGAAATAAAATGTTAACTATATGGTTCGATAGAGTAGTCGATGCTCTATCCAACTGTATCAAAATAAGAAATCTCCAATGTTCTACATAAATACAGCAGACTACACAAAACTATTAAAAATAACGTAATCAACCTGTAGAACCCCCAAGTGACTCTAATGAAAAAAGAATCCATTGTACATCAGCTAAAACAACATACGCAACTCTAACAATGTTCAAGAAACAAATGAAAGACTCAAATGGTGTAAAGATCGTAAGAGCACCAATACTTCTTTCCATATATGATAAATTGTCGTTTTTCTACATCAAAGCTTGACGAGTATCAGGACTTATTATTCCAGTCGGTACTGCACTTACTCATTTTTACGAGAGCACCCAAATCCGTATCCTCAATCTCACAACAATTTTGAGACAACTACTATGCACCACAAAAACTATGACATCACTTTGTGAACTCTTCCATCATTTCAACTTTCTTATTCTCACACATAGATACTAACAACACTGAACCTTAGCTGCAAGGAAAGGGTATGGGTGTGAGTACTGTCAAAGAATAGGCCTCGCACACCCACATCCAAAAACAATTATGTTAATTATTAAGATGATGTACATGTAACGTAGATTTGATAAATAAAATATAATAAAACAAAAAATCCTTTGTCTTCCTCGCTTTTTCAATTGTGATCACTTATAGTGCTTACTGTGTGGTATGTTGGAGCCTCATAGTATGATTTAATTAATCTCGTAGAGAATCAAATCGTGAATCTTTCAAAAACAAAAATGATCAAGGTTTGACGATGAATGTTAATACTGAAAAAAAATACTAAGACGGATATTTATTTTGATGCAACATTTACACGAAAAACTAAGCATTAAAAATGACTACAAAAATTTCTAAATTAATTAAAATCTGTATTCAATTTTTTTTTTTGTTTTTTTTTTTTATCTATTATTTACAAATAGCAGAAGACAAGCACCATGGATTCCACAAAAAAACATGCATGCAACAGTAAAAAAGAAAAAAATATATATCCTTCTGGACAAAAATAGTGTCACTAGATATTTCCAACATATCATTATTTTGAGAAAAAATAATTACATATTCGGATAGTCCGTGGAATTCTGTACATTTTGAATTGCACTTGTTTGCTAAAAATACATTGAAGCATAGTGAACGCGCATCCTCATCGTCAGATTCCTCGGAAATGCATCTTTTACTTCTTCTTGATTCATATACACCTCACACTTACACTCTCATACAGCTACCCATGAATGGTTTATCCAGTAATCAAATAAGATGTATGGATACTTATCTCCTTGTCAGTCCTAATCTTAATATTACTACAAGTGGTTGGTCTATGATGAACCACTTTGTACAAAGATATAATCTAAATTTTCAACAATATCTGACCTAGAAATGTAATACATGGGTACATTAATAATACTTGAAGTATTTGTTATCAAATAATTCCAAATGTTCCTATATTCAAAATAAACTTAAAAATATGAATGAAGAAGGAGTAAAAAAAAAAGCGCATTTCCGTGGAACCTGACGATAAAGATGCGTTCACTATGCTTCAATTTATTCTTAACGAACAAGTGCAATTCAAAATGTACATATGTAGAGAATTCTACGCACTATCCTAATATATAATTACTTTTCTCAAAATATTGATTTATAATGATGATATGTTGAAAATATCGAGTGACACTATTTTTGTCTAGGATGATATATATATATATATATTGCTAATTATTTGAATTTGTTGTTTGATCTTCTGGTAAAGTTGTTGTATTTGGAGCAAGAATTTTACGTAATAATTCATCTCGAAGACATCCTTGAATAAATTCATTTCGAAGAATAATATCTATTTATAAGAAAAATAAAACGTCATATTTAAAAAAAGAAAAAGACAAACAATCAGGAAAATCTTATTAACCATCTTTATCTTTATTTAAACGTTGCATTATAAGTTCAACACGTTTTTCTGGTGATTTAAGACCAGCTCGATCTTCTTCATTAGCTAAATCATACATAGCTTCAATTATTTTAATCATATCTTTTCGATTAATTTGTCCATCTTTATTTTGATCTATAGAAAAAAAAAATTGTTTTTTTCTTTTCTTCTTTATAAAATAAAATTCATAATTTACCATAAATACCAAAAGCTAATTTTAATTTATCTTCAAGATTTCCATGTTGAGATACATCAACAGCTAATCTTCAAAAAGAAAAATTTCTTTTTTTAAATATTGAAAAATAAATCATTCTAATCTTCATACAAAAATTCTGTAAAATCAATCGAATTATTATTGTCTGTATCAAATGCTTTGAATACAAAATTACAATATTTATCAGCTTTACCTTCTGGATAGAATCTCTATTTAATAATATATATATATATATACACATATGAAATTAATTTTTAATTTCAATACATACTCTATAAACATTAAGAAATTGTTTTTTATCAAGTTTACCCATTGGACAATCTTTAAGAAAACCAGAATGCCATGCTAGAATTTCTTCTTCTGTATATTGTGTATTTATTTTTAATGTTTTCAAATCTTCATTAGTTAAAATAGTCGGATCTTTTTTTTCGTTACCACTCGTTTTATTACCCATAGTATTAAAAAGAATCTAAAAAAACAAAATTTGTTTTTTTCTTTAAACCTTTTGTCAAACACAATTTAAAAGAAATGTTGAAGTATAGGAGTAAAAATTTCTTGTTACTACTTCCTTATTGTACATTTGAAGAAATATTTCTAAAAATCAATAGAATAGAATATTAGCAACAGCAACTACATTGTGTTTTACATTTTAATCTGACAAGAATTGTGTTAACAGATTGATATTTTTTCTTTTCATTGATAAAAGTTTCAAATGAAATATTAGTGTAGAACAATTCATAAACTTAATGATTTTCAAGTATTAAATCAAACTAACGATGTTCAGCTATTTTTAAATGAGCGAGTCTAGTGTAGAGACCTATAGAGTCATGCTTTTTTTGACTCCGAAAATTAGTGATAGATTACATGTTCGGCAATATTATGTAATTTAAGGTCGTGTGAAGATGACAACACGAGATCATTAAGATTGGACATTAGTCCTTGTTACGAAGACTGGTGAGCAAAACAATGAAGAAAATCGTTCCGTTTTGCTGTGGACAAATGAAAATTTTACAACACTTGGAAGTCATCTTTCATTCTTCCGCCCAGGGGTGGAACCGGTTGAGAAATATTAAAACGGTCCGGTCCGGCCGGTTGAAAAATCCTACCGGTCCGGTCCGGCTGGAAACTGGCCGGTTGGAATCACATGTCCAACCGGTGAAATTCCGGTGAAAATCGGTTAAAAACCGGTGGAAAAATGTCGAATTTTTTTTTGAAAATCAATTTTTAGAAAAAATGGCTCCAAATATGAAATAGTTTAAGGCGCATGTAAAAGGCACTCATCATAATAAATCTTTTTAAAGAGAACCTCAGAAAAAACGATTAATATAACATATATTTTGAGTACTTTTTCACGTATTCTGACAGAAAAAACATGTGATGCCTTAGTTTTTATGGTCAAAAACAGAGTTAACAAAGAAGATTTTTGAAAACTTTCAACCGGTAAAATTCCGGTCTTTACCGGCCCGGTTGATTTCTTCAACCGGTCCGGTCAGGTCCGGTACCGGTTTGCCGGACCGGTTCCAACCCTGCTTCCGCCCACTCGGGACATCAGTGGCTCCGACGGAGTCTGATGCAGAACTCTAATCTAGTGATCGACGCTTTTCGTATGATCTGAGTTACTGAACACCTCGTTTTATCCTATAGAATTGATTTGTCAGAGTTCTAATTCAGACTTTGTAAGGTGAAATGGCAATCTTAGAAGTTTTTCAGCAATGCGAATCATCAGATCTCACTCATTGGAAAGGAGTTGTATGATTGAAATCAGCTCAGTTAGTCAATATAGAATTGTCACACAAAGACATATACTGAATCTGAACTCGAGCTCCCGTTCTATTCGCTCAATTCAAACAGTTTTAAGTCTTTCTTGAAGTATATGGACGGTGATGAAAGTATCCTAAGGTTCGGATATTCTTGAACATTGTTGAATTTTTTCTTCAATTTTTGGTTCATTTATTTTATTGTGTAGAAGACCTGTCATAGCTAACAGTGAAATTCTATCTTTTGGCTTACTTCTACTCTATTTTATTAATAAAATTGAAAATGATTAAATTCAAACTCCAACGATTCAGGTTTGATGTATGTCTATGAAATTTGCTAAGACAATATTGGAATTCGGATTTTGTGTATAGGTGAATTCATTTTTCACCGAGACGAAAATGAAATTTTAACGTTTAATAAATCGAAAAAGTGAAAGAAGAATAAAATCATTAGAATATCGTAAAAATAGTTCTTTTTATTTGTCTTTTAAATCAAATCTCGCATTTGTTCACAATAACTACATATACATCCACATAAAATATAATTAGATTTATCTTCTTTCTAATAAATATGTTAACATAATATTCAAGCTTCATTTCTCGGTTACAATGAATATATTTAAAATGTAGAAGAAAAATATAATTGCAAAATACCTCACATACAATACGCACAGAAGAAGAAACGACAGAAGAAAAAAAACAAAAGAAACATACATACGTGTGTGTATATATCTATATATATATGTGCGAGAAATGATAGAAAAGACACATCAATAAAAGAAGATTGTTGAAACCTTATATATATGTATATAGTATGAAAACAATTATATATATATGATATGTACCGAATGCTATAGTTTGGTATGCCAAGGTTTTGTATACAACTCATATTTAGACTCTTCTTAATTATTTTTTTCCTAAAGGACTGTTAGTAATATGGTAGACATACCTTAAGGACAAATAAAATGAAACAAATAAATAAGAATTATATACTAAATTATTTGTCCGTATAGAATACTAATCATAATTAAGCTAACAAAAAGAAACTTACAATATCTATTACTACCAACGGAACTAGAAGAATAAAAGAAATAAATTGCTCCACTTCATACAAAACATCAGAAAGATTTTCTCTCATTTGTCTAGTGTCTTTTTTCTTTTTTTTGTATAAAAAAAAAGAGTTTGTTTATTTTGATCGGTTATAACATCATCTCATCATCAACGCTTGTTGAATCGTTATTTTAATAGATGTAGTCTTTCATGCATGCATATGTTGTGATACACGCTTGCAAAACAATCTGATTGACAGTTATTATGATTGTTATTAATCAAATATGACATTGTGAATCATCTGTTAATTGAATATACTAAAATTTGACATAAAACATATTATTACTTGTCATATGAAAAAAAGAAAAGAAAAAAAGATCTCAATTGATATTTTTCTAAGATATATATAAAAATACGATGTTTATAATAAGAATATTTTTCAAAATATAAGAAAATAGAGAGTAATTCAATTAATGAAAAATTTTTGTCTGTAATAAATTTCTTGGAAATTATGTTAGTCAAGTCGTACTGTACTTATAAATTAAAATACTTGAATCTGTAACATTAATTTCTTCTATAAAAAAAAAAAAATCAATGAACATTCAAAACGAATATTAGATTTTCATGTTATGCTCAAAATAAAAGAACTCGCGAAGCAAGATTCGTAAAAATTTCTGTTCAATCATTCAAATTTTTACTTTATCTTAATGTTCTATTGGATAAAATCCTTAGTGAACTTTGCTAGAAAATAAGAAAAAAAAAAGTTTAACAATTGAATCAAAAGTTTTCAGACAAAATATTTGTTTATTTTTGTCTTCCTTGAAAGTATTTTCGAAGAGTCAAAAGCTACGAATTAGTATTATTCACTTTCTGAATATAGGTTCAGAAATTTTATTTCAATATTTATTCGAAATTAATGATGGAATTATTTTAAAAAATCCAAACAAAAAAATTAGATTGAATGATAAACCAATAGGCTTTTATTAATCCCTATAAATTCTTTTTCGAAGCTATCAAAAAGATTTTTTCTTTACAAAATTTTTCCGTTGAACTATACTATGACTTTTATCTAAGTGAAACTATTGATATTTTGTCAAGAGCTTCTTTCTATGCAAAACAATTTTTGATCAAAAAGACGTAGATTTTATAGGATAAATTCTGATCTACAAGATGATAAATAAATAAAAATTTCAAGTTTTAGTTTCGAATTACAATAATAAAAATACAAAAATTTTCTTATGTAAAATCATTTTTGAAAGATTATTTTATTAATCTTGAACAAAAACTTCGACAAAAATTTCTAACAAGTAAAAAATTGTACAAACATCTTATTTCAAAAGCTTTGCTGATCATCCTTATATGGAAACAATTGGTTTTTTTGATTTCATTTTCCGACAAGAAATGTCAAGTTCGATCGTTATTTTTTGCGTTATATCATTACAATGGCGTAGTAGTGATTTGAATAGAAGAAGAATGTATAACTTTTATCGAACATTCTTTGATAAGAATAGCTTAGACGAGACGAGGTCATCGTGTTTTTATTTTCGGACATTGTTTTTCATGCAACAACATAAAAGCTTAATATCCTATACAACAACTGTTGTAATATTCTTTACAATTGTATAATTATAAACACATTAGAAAATGTCAAAATTTCTCTGTAGAATGGCAGCTAAATTTTTCAATCTACAATGTCTATAGACAAAAAAAAAAAGAATGACTGGCCATCTTCATACATTATTAAAAATATGAGACTGTAAATCGTACATTTCTATTCAGATTAGATTTTTTTTTTCAGATCATTAATTTACCGTTTTGCAGCTGTTAATCAAAGATACTTATCACAAAAAAATATGCTTTATATTCTAAAATCATCAATTTATTAAGTACATAACAATGCTTCTTTATTTTTCCATATGTTGAATAGTTTTGTCACGTAAAATTGATAGAAAACATGTTTTTATAGAACTTGATGAATGTTATTCATGTTGAAATAATTACTTTCATTCTGAATCTAATAGTTAAGATGAGAGCAATATTTTATCCAGATTTTTCTCTTCCATATGAACGATTTCAAACTTCTGGAGGAGGCAAAAAACGATTTTTGTTTTGTTTTTTGTCAGTCATAGGCACTAATTCAATCTTCGATGGAATGCTACCACTGCCTCAACTCCTACGATGAATGATAAAATATTTAATCAGAGATATCAACAAATCTCATAATTTACATTCACACACGCAATTCAAGCAGTTGATTGTTAGACAAGAGTAAAAAAAGATTGGAATGTTGTTCTATTCTGGTTGAAATTATGATATGAAAATTTTATATGTAGCAGTTCTATGTATCCTATGAACTTTTGTGTTAAAGAGTAAAGCTTTAGAATAAAACAAAAAATAATGTATATGCTATTCTTACATGATTTCTCGATTGACGACATCTAGCAAATCTAGTAAATGGTTCGATATTTTTCACACCAGTCAACTAAAATGTCAATATTAAAAAAAATTTCTTTTATTTTTTTATTACTATATACTCATAAAAAAGTAGAAATTAATATAAAAATGAACGAAATTATTTTACAATTATTTTTAGTATGACATCTTTATATACAAATCGTCAATTAATATTTGCTGATGATAATAATGATAAAAAATCAATATCTGTTAATATATTAGAGGTGTTTTTTTCATTGAATATGAATAAACAAAATTTATGTTTATTCGAATTTTTTTTTTTAAGTAGACATTTGATACATCTTCATCATATGGTCTTTATCTTTGGCCATGTTCACCTATACTTGCTCAATATATTTGGTATAATCGAAATGATTTTCTAGGCAAAAATATTCTAGAGGTGTTGTTTATTTCAAAAAGAAAAACAACTCGATGATTATTATTATTATTTTTTTTTTGTGTTTATAAAGATTGGCGCAGGAACATCATTACCTGGTTTAGTTGCAGCTAAAATTGGTGCTCCAAATATAATCTTATGTGATAATCCTAAAGTTGATAAATGGTTATCATTAATACATGAAACAATACAATTAAATAGTATGATAGCTGATCGTATTCATATTGAATATCTTGATTGGTATAATGAAAAAAGTATTGATGAACTTATTAAAAAATATTTTCCATCAAATATTGATATTATACTTGGTTCAGATATATTCTTTCATAAAAAAGGTAGACGAAAACAAAAAAAAAAAAAAAGAAATAACAAAATTCAATTTTTCGTTTTGTTTTTTCTATTAGATAAATTTAATATTAATTTTTAGATTTTGAAACAATAATTGCTTTGCTTGATAAATTTTTTACATATGGACATTCATCTTTAAAATTTCTTGGAACTATAGAACAACGAAGGTATATATATATATATAAATCTTTTAATCTCTTTATTATTTCTTTGGTTATATAGTCGAAGTACAATGTTGAAATTGAATCATCTTATTGATATATGGAATATGAAGCTAGATATTATACCATTGAATGATTTCAATGGAGATACAATTTACCCAAATATTATTGCTGGTCATGACATTCTTCTTTTTTCTATTGTAAAAAAAACCATATAAAAAAAATGAGGTGATCATTTTTTAAAAAAATATATATATTATTTCAAATGTTGACAAAATAAGGATTTAAGATTTATGTCTATTTGACAGAAAGGAATAAAAGGAAAGAAGAAATACAATGAGTTCTACGTATATTATAGCGAGTCAGTCGGAGGGGGAGGGGGCGGACAAATTGAGAGGAAGAGAAGAAGGCGAAGAGGAAAGAGAAGAAGCAGCTAAAAGACGGACGTGACAAACAAATGAATAAGAGAAATGTATGGTTCGATGTTTAGACTCGATACTGATTGGTCGGCTCCTTTATGGCGATCAAGAGAATGATGAATGCGTAGTAGGCACAGCTGAAGATGAGACCATACTAGTAAAAAAAAAAAAAAAAAAAAACTACAAACCATAATTTTCTTTCGGCAGAAAAAAATGTTCTAGTTTACTCATTTATATAGTAACGATACTTATTAAATATAATCATCTTGACGACTTAATTTACGTCATTTCATATCTTTATATATCGATCTAACGATTGATATAATCTATTTTGATTAAAACAAAAAAGAAAAAAATACAATAAATGTATCAATTGTTAATTTTAACATTTATTTATTTAATTACAACAATTAATTCAAAATGTATTTGGTATGAAAGTATACGTCCTGGTTTTAATCAAGTTTATTTACATGGTGAACCAAAACCATTATCATCAAATGATGTTCATCTATTAAATGAGATGTGTCCTCATATGGCAACACATTCAGGTTAATATTTCTTTAGGTTTTTTTTTTTAATAGATTTTTGTTTTTTTTAGGTGTTTCACCTAATTTATGTTGTGATAGTAAACAATTAGCTGAAATGCAAAAATCTAAATATATGTTAGATAATGTAATTGGTCGTTGTCCATCATGTTATTTTAATTTATTACATATATTTTGTGAAATGGCTTGTAGTCCTCATCAAGATCAATTTTTATGGCCAATAGATCTTATAAATATGACTCGACCAGATGAAAATGAAAATGAAAATATTCAATCAGATGATCGTACACGAGAAGATTGGGCTTTACCAGATTATGTCGATCCAGAAGAAGAAAAAGAAGACGATGACGAAGAAAAAAATAATGTAAAAGTAACACAAAAACCAATTGAATTAGTTAATGTTGTTCGAAAACTTCGATACTATATATTAGAAAAACAAGCGAAAGATTTTATTGAATCTTGCTGGTAATTTTTTTTTTTGTTTTTTAATCTTTAAATTAAATTTGTATTTTATATGTTTTACAGGAGTGTTCGTATGAATTTTCAATATGCAATTGATATTCTTTGTGGATCAACAAATCGTTTATGTGATCATAAAAAACTTTTTAATTATATTGGTTTACAAAATACACAATCACCAATTAAAATTGAATTTATTTTTGTTAATGAAACTTATTATGATAAAGAACTTAATCGAACATTCCAACCATTACAAGGATCAATGTTTACTTGTGATCAACCAGTTATTTTACCACATATTTCAAGACAAAAATGCACTTGTATGGTATGTAATAAGTTATTTATTATTATTGTTTTTTTTTTTGATAATCTTAAGAATAATTCAAATAATAGAAGATATTTTATCTTATAAAAAAAAATTACATGAATTTTATTTATTATTTTTCTCATATTTTAATGTATTAAACATGTTTGTATGTAATATGATCAGAATTTATCTGTCATGTACGATATCTATTATGTGACGGGCAATAGGCATTTTTTTTTACCTTCGGAGTAGGCGTTACTTTTGAAATTTGATATGTTATTCATGATCACGATCTCAAATCTGAAGGAGTCATATACATCCATCTAATAATAAAAAAGTATGTATTTTCATTCACGATAAACAAAATAATATATTATTGATATGAAGATTATATTTTGATAAATATTTGTTTTAATATATGAGTTTTATATATATATATATTAGAGAAGAAAAATGTAAAATAAAAAAAAGTTTTTCAACTTGAAATTATTTCTATAGGTTTTATGATTATAAAAATTCTTCAAATATTTCAAATTGATGATTTTTCTTGAAAATCTAATCAATTTTTTGAACATCAAATATCTCTCTCTCAGTGAAAACTTTCAGATAACAAAAAAAAAAAAACTCATTTGCTGGTCCATACCTTGTACAGGATGTAACGAAATTTCTCAATAAAAAACAACTAACTAGATTCAATCTAAATAGTGATTTGAATAGCCCATGAGTTGCTGTATCGAATAGAGTATAAGTTAGAATTAGAAGAAAAATTTTTCAAAATGCTGAAGAATTATGATTTGAGATATCAGAAGAACTTAACGAAAATGTTCATCTAAACGAGTAAAATGAGAGGTGGCGCAGTTCTCTACGACATTTCATTGCAGAATTACAAAATTTACCGAAAAGAAACGCGTTTTCTCAGTTTTTCTATGCTTATAACTCTGCAATGAAATGTTGTAGAGAACTGTACCACCTCTTATTTTGCTCTTTTAGATGAACATGTTTTAAAACATTTTCGTTAAGTCCTTCTGATACTCCAAATCGTAGTTCATCAACATTTTGAAAAATTTTTCCTCTAATTCTGACTTATACTCTATTCGATAGAGCAACTCACGAGCTATCCAAATCACTATTTAGATTGAATCTAGTTAGTTGTTTTTATTGAAAAATTTTGCAAACAAAAGAGAGGCTATAAATTTGTCACATCCTGCACTTCCATAAGAATGTCGTCATTGTCTATACGATTGAAATCCTTTTTTTTTTGAACAATGGTAATATGTGCCATAAAAACGTATTTTTTACGATTAGATGTATTGACAATTTAAGAATGTTTGATTAAGAACAAAAAAAAAATGCAACAACTGTTCTACAAAAAAAAAAGAAGGGAGAGTGTCAGCTTGACTTTCGGAAACACAATAATCATTCATAAAAATAATTTATTCATTGAAAAAGAAATGAATATCTTAAATTATATTCTTTCGAAAGGACATCTTAGAAGTAACTCATTAATCGAAAGTAAACCTTAATAATAATTAATAGAAGACTATAACGATTCATTCTATATGCGCTATTCTTCTCTCAAGTTATTATAATTTTTTAATTAATTCGAATTTGAATAGAAAATTGATTATTTATTTTTTTGGTTTTTATTAGGATTGTAATGCTATGTGTCCAAAATTACATAAAATAGAAAATAAAACTATAACTATATCGAATGATTCTATTATAGGTAAATTAAAATTAAAATTTATTGAATTTCATCGTATAACAATAGCTTCTATTATATTATATATTATATTTGTTATTGTATTTATTATTCTTAATGTACTTATATGTATATGGAATGTAAAAAATAATCGAAGACAATATTTTCTTACAAGTAAGAATTTTATTTATATATACCCCTGGAAAAAATAAGCTTTAGTCTGTATTTTGGGAATATCGTTATCATAGCAGCGTATTTTTTAATAAATAATGATATATTCTGAAAGCGCGTGGAGTTTTCTATCAGCCTGTATATTTGCCTTTTCGTTTGAATATATATATTACCAAAAACAATTGAGTGTAATGAAGGCACCCTCATATCCAGATTCCCACAGACTTGATTTTGTCACTGTCACCAAAATTAGTTTTTAAAATTTTTCATCACTATAGAATTATCTTTTGAAAAAAGTAATTATATATTCTGATAGAGCTTGAAATTCTCTATCATCCTGTATATTTACTTATTTCCTTATATTAATTTCTCGAAAAGAAAATTTGAGTACGATGAACGCACCATCAATTGACAAGTACCGAAAATCGCTACTTTTTTCCTTTTTTCAAAATATAGTTACTATACTAATAAATTTCTAAAAAATGAATTATAGATTCTGATAGAGCTTGAAATTCTCTATTATCCTATATGTTTTTTTTCTTGCCTTGCATTTATGTACTGAATGTGCTGCGGCACATAAATGTAAAATAGGGAACAAATGTACAGGATGCTAGAGAATTTCAAGCCCTATAAGAATCTGTCATTGCTTTTTAAAAATAAAATTTTTCATAAGAATCATAAATTTAAAAATAGAACTCCGGAAGCAACGAAAAACGCAAATTTTTGGTACTTGTCAATTGACGGTGCGTTCATCGTACTCAAATTTTCTTTTCGAGAAATTAATATAAGGAAATAAGTAAATATACAGGATGATAGAGAATTTCAAGCTCTATCAGAATATATAATTACTTTTTTCAAAAGATAATTCTATAGTGATGAAAAATTTTAAAAACTAATTTTGGTGACAGTGACAAAATCAAGTCTGTGGGAATCTGGATATGAGGGTGCCTTCATTACACTCAATTGTTTTTGGTAATATATATATTCAAACGAAAAGGCAAATATACAGGCTGATAGAAAACTCCACGCGCTTTCAGAATATATCATTATTTATTAAAAAATACGCTGCTATGATAACGATATTCCCAAAATACAGACTAAAGCTTATTTTTTCCAGGGGTATATATATATATTATATAATTTTTATGTTTTTTTTTTTTTTATTAATATCAGATGATAAATCTATAGTAAATAAAGAAAAACAAAATCGTTTAATTGAACATCATCATATACCATTATCCGTACGAGACGATGAAGAATCTGAAACATCATTTGATGATGAACAAAATGGTATATTAGATCGATTTGGTGTTAAAATTGATGAAAGTCTTCATAAGATATTTACTGCGTATGTATTTTTTGTTTTATATAAAAACAAAATAATAATAATAATAATAATAATATTGTTTTATTTAGTATTGGTCGATTTTGTGCTTATAATCCCAAATATACAATTGTACCCGTAATAGCTATTTTGTTTGTTTTATGTTATGGTAGTCGTTATTATACAGTAACTACAGATCCAGTTGATCTTTGGGTAGCACCTAATTCTCGTGCACGTCAAGAAAAAGCTTATTTTGATGAAAAATTTGGGTAAATAATAATTGAAATTAAT